TACATGTATTTAAGCTTTATAATTGAAGGGTTTGGAATAAAAAGGGTATAAGTGCGTTTTTTTAAAATATGAGATAAGTACATATTATAAAATTTAATATTCTATATTGTTAGAATAATAAGGGTATAAGCTTCAAACGTAACATATAGTGCCATCTACGAGCTAGTAGAAAAATCTACTAAAGAAATCTTCAAAATGTGTTGGAATAGAAAAGGTATAAGCATTACTTATACCGTTTCTATTCCAAGCGACGAAGCGATTCCGAGATTTACGAGCATAGTGAGCTTTGTTAAAACGTGTTGCATTAATTTTGTGTGTGATCTACATCTACATAATATGAAAATTGTACAGGTAAATTGTTTTTAGAAATATTATTGTGTATGTATAATACGAATAAACGTAAATATTTACCCTACAGAATAAGTAAACAGTAAAAAAATTAGGTTGTGTTTCTGATTTTAAAATTATTTATTTTTATTTTTTAAGATATTGAAACTGCTGAAGACCCTTATTTCACCGATAGCGGGAGTAACTACAATCCATCCTCTGAAGAAGAAACTCTAGAAAGTGATAGTTCAGATAGTAATCAAGATGTTTGCATTGGTAAGTGTGGTCCAGTATATGTATTAGTTATGCAGCCTGTTTATTTATATGATAAAAATTAATATAATATTAAATTTGATATCATTACGTATATACAGGGTGGTTTTATTAATAATTGGAAATATTTTAACTCTTGATTCCTGGGCTAAAAATATTAAGATTTAACTGACTTACAGGGTGTTTTATTTAAGAATTTAAAAAGTATTTGTGCCAGTACTTTAAAGCTATTGGACAGATTGTATATTTACAATAAGTGGACATAAGTGTATTTATATTAAGTGATTTGGGTTAAATATTAATAATTTGAGCCCAGGAATCTAGAGTTAAAATATTTCCAATTATTAATGAAACACCCTTTATATGTATAGGTCAATTTGCTCTACTCTATTTATTCCTTTGTATTTTAGATACCAATATTAAGCCAAGAAAGAGGCAGAAAAACAAGTCCGAATGGAAAGTAAATAAAACGAAAATGCTTAAAACCCAAGGCAAAGAATACATTGGGTACAAGAACAAGCTGCATAGAGAAAGAAAATTGGTGAAATTTAGTCACAGTTGTAGATATAAGTGTAGTTCAATTTTACAGAGGAAATAAGACAAGAACTATTTGACACTTTTTACAAACTTCCGACTTATGACCACCAGACCTCATACTTGTCATCTTGCATAAAGAAAACTGAAGTGACTAGAAAAAAATCCGGCAATATAAAGCGCAAGTTTAGTACACAAATAATCCTTATGAATCAACGAGTATGTAAGGAGTTTTTCTTGAAAACGTTTGATATTACCAATAGGAGATTTACAGTAGTGTGCCAAAAAAACCAATAATTTACAAATGTGTGAGCCAGATAAGCGAGGGAAGGGTCCGAGTAAACGAAAAATGAGTGAAGAAAAACGTAGATTGGTAATTGAAATCCCAGAAGACGTCTCTTTGTTACATAATATTCCCCAAAAAAATTTTCTAAAATTAGACCTATATGAAGACTTGGAAATAGTCAAAGAAAAACAAAAAAGCCCCAATTGTGTTAATCGCCATGTATCTTTCAACCGTGACTTTCAACCTTTACATCGTCAACTTTTTTCATAGTCCACACTTCACAATACTGTCCTATTTTCTCTGCCTTATTTTCCTATACAAACGTCAACACCTTATTCCTACATAATCTTGTGGTTCTTCAAACACCCCTTTTTATACAATATCGTCACACCTTCTCTCGCAAATTTCTGACCCCAATTTTAACTTCAGAACCATCCACATCCACCATACCAACATTTCACTATCTTATCTCTTCACTCACTTCACTCTTCACTTCTACATCGTTTTCCTGTTAATTTTGTTCTCTTTCATTATTTCTTGGTCAATTCATAGATTAAACATGTATCCAATAGTTTTAATTTAGTAAATCACTTAAACATTATCTAACAATTTATTAAAAATTCATAATCTACCATATTACATAGAATCCTAATCTACCTTTGTCCACCTTCTTTCGGTCAACAACTTAGTAGCACACTTATACAACAAATTTCAGGTTTCTACAAACTGAATTTAATACCACCTAAATAGAGTTTGTTCAGGGTGCTAGATACTTTAAGTATAAAGACCCCTATTATCTCTAATTGTTGATCAACTCCTTTTCTCCTTCAACCCCCCCCACTTCTTTCATTTCTTTTACTTTCATTCTCATTAGTCTCTGAGGAACCCAGTCTACTTCGATTTTAAATTCAATCACATATGTTACTACTTTCAATTTCTTCAGCCTGTAGATTTCCATCTTACTAAACTTAATTTTATTAATTCTTCACCATAGGAGCATTCCTAAATAAAGTCATTTAAACATGAGGACTGATATTAGCTTCAAATATTTGTTATTTACATTTTTACCTTGTCCTAGATGTGTTAAACATAAAAGGATAAATTTCACAAATACAAGCTAACCCAAAAATAAATACACTTTAGACCACATTCCATACGGCCGAAAAGCAACATAAGTTGCCTAAGGCACAGGTCATTATATTAATCATGACTATAAAACCATCATTGATTTGACATCTCTTATACCATAAATTAATAAATAAAAAGTTTTTAAATCCCAACACCTAGATTGTTGTTATTTTTAAAATCATCAAAACTTGTTGAATCTTTGGCTGTAGTAATACTATGTACAACTTTTATAGTTTTTGTTGCATTGACATTCTGTTATCTTCATCCTTCAAAAGTATCTTGTCAATCAGTTCCACGTTGTTCTCCGAGTGCAGAGGTTGTCTCTCACCCGGCTCTGGAACCCATTTGAGCCATGTGTTACCTTTGGTCAAATTTAATTTAATATAGAACATCACAGTTATTTTATAACACAATGTACAACATTTCATAACTAAATGTAATTTAAAGGGTTTTTACCTAATATTTTGGTGGCTCAGGCATTATGACCTAGTAAGTATAACCATCTTTTGCTTTTCAAACCTTAGTCAAAATTTCAAAATCTCGTTTGTTTTAACTAAATGGTTTTATACTTATTTTTTAGGCATTTTCGATTTTAATAACCTGATGATGGACTGTGTAGTCCGAAAACGTTTGTTCTATTGATGTGGCCCCTTTTAAGGGTTTTTTAAATAAATATACCCATTTACAAAAATATAAAACAATTTCCTAAATACAGTAGTCACTATTCATGCCAAGCAAATGTAAATGCTAAATATTTAGCACCCGAACTGACCTTAAAAAAAAATGTATGATCTCTACAAGGCTTTGATTGTGAGGCACAAAATTTTTACTGCTGTAAAAACTATCATATTACACGATTTGTTTTTTAATACAGATTTCAATTTGAGATACCATCGGCCACACTCTGATACATGTTCACGATGTGATTCATATCCAAAACATTATTAAACATAAACCATGAGGAATCTAAAATTTCGGAAACAAAAAAACTGTTAGAATTGCACCAGCGAAAAGCACAAAAGGCATTGGCGTGCAAGAATGCAAATATTGAGCGTTATAAAGGGTCAGAAGATACAGTAGTTCTATGCTTCGATTTGCAACCAAAACCCTACCCACTCCCTTGTTGACCACATCTAAGGTATTCTATCTACGACAGCTATGGACATATAACTTTTGTGTTTATAATTTACTCAATGGAACCCCTCATATGTTTGTATGGAATGAAAGTATTTCAGGAAGAGTTCTCAAGAAAATTGGATCTTGTTTATTCAAGGTAGTACCGCAATATTTTGCTATTTTTACTCATTTATATTTTTTTTTTTTATTTTAGTTTATCACAATGCCTACCACCAAACATTAAAAAGAGTTATTGCTTATAGTGATTCTTGTGGTGGGCCAAAACAAGAATAAAAATATCTGTAAATTATTCATGTTTTTTGGTAAAGCAACTCAAATAGAAGAAATTAGTCATAATTTCTTGAACCTGGGCACACCTATATGGAATGCGATAGGGCTTTTGGACTAATTGAAAAATCGAAAGAAAAAATCCTCAAGTATTTTTACCAGACCATTGGATAGACGTGATAAAAAGCTCATCAAAGCGTTTTATTGTACATTCCATAAGACAAGAAGATTTTTTGTCTTATTCAAAACTTAATAAAATTGTCAATGATTCCCAAACGAGACTGTGAGAACCAAGATTTAAATTTCGGGATATACAGTATTTTAGATATAATAGCACCGAAGAGCCCTTTCATTCTTTTTTAAATCCACCTTGGATGAGGAATTTCCTTTCTATCAGTGCATTTGTAAGATAATGTCCTCTGGTCGCCCATCTTTTGACAGCCAACTATATTATTTTTGCAGTACAAATAACTGCAAGAAACATTAACATAAAGAAATGGAAGAATTTACAGAGCTCTTCTTGAATTTAATCCTCCAATGTTTATCAATATTTTTATACAATCAATGCAGTAATGAATCGAATACAAGCCGGGAAAAAAAAAAATAACGAAGAGCTGTTACAAATTAACAGAAGCACCAGAGTTTTCTCGGAATTACCCTGTGATGATGGATTAATACAATATTATCCCTCTGATGATTGATTAAAATTGTTATTCATACCAGTCTGGAAATAAACAGTTTAATTTTGCAAAATATGTACTTTTATTTAGAATTAAAAACGGTATAAGTACATTTTTTTCAAATAAAAATTTTTTTTTCTACTACATTTTATTTGTACACTTTGGAAACCAAAAAATATAGCTCCTTACCAAAATTGATGTTAGCTAGCATCAAACTTCACCTAAATTATTTTAAGTAATTTACAGTGATGAAATAACTTTAAGTCCCAATTATCTCAAAACAAGGTTTTAATGCACTTATACCGTTTTTTATTCCAAAACCCGTCCAATTGAATAAAAAATATTTTTAATTTTAATTTTTCACTTACCTTAACAGCCGTTCTCTCATTCTTCTTACTTCCGCAGAAGAAAATGAATCTGGCGAAACACATGACATAGACTTACTCCTTTGCAAAGTTCTCAATACTATTCGGCCAGTAAATGTATAACTATTTGATGTATTTTAAACTATATTTCTAGATAAGCAGATGTAACAGTTCCTGTGCAAATGTTGTCACATGTTTCTTTATTCACATTTTTCTTTTAAACTGTAATCTACAAGAGTAATATTTTTTATTTTTTTTTTTTTATTTATTTTTTTTCCTTGATCGTATAGCTTTTATTGAAACAGATATAATAGTATGTAATGATAACAATAAATCACTGAAAACTCTTGTTTTCAAAACTTCCACAAAATTTGTCATATTTTACATACCACTAACAGCTGTTTCGGCAGAATGGCCTTCTCAAGTGACTTATTTTTAGGATGTGTCTTACAATGTAAAACATTAACAGTAATAGATTTGGATGAAGGGGAGAAACTGTTTTTGTCCTCTATTGGACATTACAGTATAAATTTTCTGTGTTTTTGAATTTAAGTTTTAAAAAAAATGTGGAAAGGATTAATTGGGATTTCCGCTCTTGTGTCCCCTCCGCTAGACTTAACATACTAGAAAATCGGAGGGGCCAATTTGTGCCCCTGTTGCGATTTGAAGTTATTTGTAGTACTTTTATTTGACACAATAATAATTATTCATATTTTATGACTTTTAATATTATGATAAAAACTCCTTATTTAACGCAAAAAATATTGTTAATCTAAATTTATTAAATGGAATTTATCTCTAACAAACCTACCATAGATGTCTGAAGGGGCCAAACAGGCCCAGTATTAATTAATTATTGTTGTTCAGCGGAATGTTGACGATTAAGTTATAACGTTTCAGTCCGGATAGATATACAAATTAAGTTTATGTACGTTTAATCTTATAGATGGGTATTTTGATACATACTGTTTGTTTCCTTGAAAGTATTTTTGTTTTATTGAGCGGATTTATTAGGTTCTGGAGACTCCTTCCCGTTTCTAGAATTATTAGAAACATTCGTTCAGTTGTGAAAATTCATAGACGACTGTAAAGAAGTCTCGTCGTGACAATCAGAAGCTTGAACTGCTCTGAAGAAATACGAAAAATACTAAGAAGAAAGAATTTTTCGGGAGGTGAATCAGAATTTTGCAAAAAACATAATGATGGTCAGAAGATGAACAATAGTACCACCACAAAATAAAGATTCAAGTGACTCTAATGCTTCAGAGCAGTTAGAAAAGTTACTATTGTACAAGACTACACCAATTTATGTAAACACCCTACTTCTACAACTCAACAGCACGAGTCAGCTAATTTTATCGTGGAATCCAAGTGCAATCTAAACCAAGTCACAAGAGGAAAAGTAGGTCAAAAGGAAATACTATTTCAATCGGAGACACCGCACAATCGGAAGACGGAACAACGTGGAAGGAAAGTTATTGATTCTGGATCAGAACCTGGTAAGATTATGATTTTTAGTATACTTCTATTCCATTGAAAGTTTTGCTCATTACAGCGACGCCGCGCTCAGCACAACATTTTATTCGGAGAGGAATCAAGGTCCTACGTCGTATGCACAAAGCGAAACGTGAGGAAACAATTGTGGTGGTAAGTGCTTGGCGTCTAGATAATCCACGACAGCAAGTTACGTCATATAAAAAGAATGCACTTATTGCAGAAGCACAATCGATGTTTGAAAAAATGACGCAAGGACTATAACTTTGGAATGAACTGGAGGCTGGCCCATCGCTAATATGTACGCACAAGAAGGATGTCTACCGGCGCTCTAAAAATTTTCCCAACCACAGCATGAGGTCCAACAGTATGGGGTCTTCAGTTTTTTAACCAAGCACTAAGCCCCACGAGACAGCTTCAAGGATATTATAAAAATATCTCAGATTTGACATAAAGCAAACGAAATTCTGAACGATTTGAAAACCGACAAATTGGCTCTAGCCTCAGCGGTTTGGACATGGATTAATAGAAAATAGTGGTGCAATGTATCCATAATCGGGAACAAACCTTACTGTGGACGAACAACTACTGCGTTCTCAAGCCAGGATGGCCCGTTCCACACAGTACATATCAAATAAGCTCGGATAGTTTGGCATAAAATTTTTGGCCTTTGACATGCTGTGGAATCAAACTATATTGTAAAATGGTTACACCCATATACTGTCACAGGATCATCTACGCAAGAAAAGATACAAGGTGTTGGTGAAACATGTTGTTTTGCAGGTATAAGGATACGGAAAAAAATCAATCTGGGAAAAGGGCAAAAATGAAACGACAGATAACTACTTTACATCGTTAAAATTCGGCCAAGGCATTGCAAAAACAAATAACAAGTCTGGTGGGTACTTTGAATCGCCAAACAGAAAGGAAGTTCCCTCTAAGCGTAAATGAGTAAAAAATGGAGGAAGTATATGTTAACCCATATATTCCAGGGCGACGCGAAAAAAATAAACCACTTCCTGCGTAACCAAGGAAAAGAGTCACAAAACAAAAATGTGCTTTTGTTGAGCACATTACCTCAATCAGTGGATGTTGCTGTCCGATGGAAAAAATACCTTCCTCAAACAGTAGAAGTTTTTTATAATAAAACAAAATACGGGGTTGAGGTAGTGGACCAAATGGCGCGTCTTTATACTACAAAAGTTGCTTTCAGGACGATGGCCAATGCACGTGATTTATAAACAATCTTTGACCTAGGAGCCAATAAATGCATGGATTATTTAGAAAGAAGTTACTGGAAGTAAAAATCAGTCCGTCGATAAGTTTGATTCTTCAGTTGTGGTGAAGAATTTACGGGCTCCATACACCTTGCCTCCCGAAATCTGGGTACTATTACCCAGCCACCACCGGATTTGACCAACCACCAGCACTGTTACTTAGCCAAAAAAGAAAAAATGTCGTTAGTATAAAAATGTTTTTGTACAGGAAATCATATCTTCCCAATTAAGTGCCACGGCTGTAACAAGGCAATGTGTGGGCAAATGCCAAAACCTGCAAACTGTATGTGTGTTCCCATAATGTTGAAATGGAAAACTAAAAAAATTAAAATCAAATTCTATCGTCAAGTGTTTTAGTATTAATTTCCTTTAAAACTGATTATCTTTTATTTTTTGTTTATTCCCAAATAAATAGTTAATTACTAAACCTTGGGTTTTTATTTGATTTAGGGAATCATTGGGGGCCAAACATGAATCCTTCGGGCTTTTTTAGGTAGGTATGCACTAAGCCGCCCGACTTTCTAGTGATAAGGGTCTCCTTTTTTCGCCATTTCATCGAACAACTAAATATATACTATCAAATAATTGTGTATAAACAACTAAATCTGATTATTATAAAAGGTGATAAAATTCGTGATACGATATAATCTAATATTTAAGTAAATTACAATATTGTAATTAGGTTCAAAGTTATTTACAATGCACCTTTGTTGACGTAGATTAAAAAAATTTAGATCTATATTATAAGCTCTTTACTAGAAATTTAATCAGTTGAGATACAAACGGATTACTGAGTCAAAGAAAAGAAGCCATTACCCGCTATTTTTAATCAATAGTAGTATATGGAAATCGATGTTTAAATATTAGATTATATAGTTTGGTATAAAAACTATTCCACACTCAATAATATCTAAAATATCAGTATATAACATTATATTTGTGTTTTTATAGTGAGGTAATAACTACATGTAGGTTTTTCATATTAAATTTAATTTACATTGTAGAAATATTTTCTAAAATTTAATGCTTTGCTTTACTGTATTTACCATCAAGATCGACGTTATAAAGAATTTAATATCCAAGAGGACACACATATCACTTACAGACACGATGAAGTCACAAAGAACACTAATAATGGTGGGTAATTATACTGGAATCCTTGTAAATAGAAGTTATCACTAGTGGGTTTATCTCTCACGAAAGTTCAAATTCACTGTCAAGTACAATATATTATAATGGTTATAGAAATAATAATTCTAACAACATAAATACGGTTTACTTAATCCGTGCTATTAAATAATTAGTTTGATTTCCCTCATTGCATATTTTTTCCCAGTATTATTATGAAACTTATAAATATATTTGTTTAAAATTATAATTGTTAGTAAAATATTGCTTACTGTTATTATCTGTACATAAACAAAATAATCACGTTTGGAATACAAAATCATACAGGCATGTGCAATTTTTTTAAATTTAGTTGTTACGAATACAGCTGCTTTAATTTTTCGTCATTTTCCATTACTTACATCTTGCCGATTTATTATACGACGACCTACGTTATGAACTAGGATCTAGTATTGATTACAGAAACCGTTGAATTTACAGATGGTGTCATAATATTTATAACATAGAACACGATTGCAAATCTGTAGCCTGGTTTCAAAGATGGCCAACTTCATTTAGCAAAATTTTCAGTATAGGTAAAAAACTGCTTAAACTACATCCACACAATGGGTACAGTTGAATTTTTTTTGTTGATTAACCCATTAGTGCCTAGCGTTACAATTATGTAACGCAAAGTGGTGCCATCTAAAATAGATCCTCTGTTGCATACGTCGCAAATTTTCAGTCGAAAACTGGTCAGTTCTTGTCAGAAGGTTATACTGTTTACATCGTTTGAAGTGTGACTATTTATTAGAGCTTTGTTTTGAGTTTGTGCCTCTATAAAGTATAAACTAAACAAATAAAGCTTCAAATAATGGACTTCGTCCATAAAGAGTAAGTATATAAATCTCATTTTGTATAATAACGTTATATTAGAAAACAAATAGGTAAAAGTAAATATAAAATACATATTTTTTGTATTAAAAGCTTTGATATTTTTTCAGTATAAAAAAGTTGCTAGGTTAGGAAGTTGACTGTTACATATTTGTAACGCTAGGATGTAATGTAGCATATTTTACAGTTATTTTGTACGGATGTATTACGTATTTTGTTTTCATTGTATGGTATTTTTAATATTATTTTTGGAAATATTAGTATACAGAGTGTTTATAGGACTTCAGGAAATTTAAAAATGCAGTATGTACCTACTAAGTTGTTTTTTTTTTTATTTCAGAGGCCTTGCTGCAGTTCTTCAAAAGGAGCCTGACTATTCAAGAAGCTATCGATATAGCCTTTGGAGAATAACGACGGGATAGATGACTCACTATA